CACACGCACACGCACACACATGTAAACTGCACGCACTCGCACCTATATGTCATGACAAGCACACGCTGAATGCACGATAAATATAAATGGCGCGCCTGCAGCCAAGAAGCAGCAGGTGGCCAAGCCCAAGTACTGGCCGGTGTTCATTCTGCTCGTGACGGCGGCCGACATCGCGGGCCTCATTCTCGAGCTGGCCTGGAACGGCGGCGTCGAAGACTTCCAGGACAATCCCTTCGTACGCGTCATCTTGTTGTGCATCGTATCGTGTCGTGTGTGTCGTGTGTGTCGTGTTTGGATGTCGTGCCTGATCGTGGCGTGACCGCGTTTTGTGGTTATGTTGTTCGTAGTTCGGACCGACGTCGGAGACGCTGAAGACGCTCGGAGCCAAGTGGACGCTGGCCATCCTCGAGAAGAACGAGGCCTGGCGCTTCTTCACCGCCATGTTCCTCCACGTCGGCATCGTCCACCTCCTCATCAACATCGTATATGCCCCAACCCACCCTGGCCGCATTGTTAAGCTGCCTTTACTTACAGTACTTACCGCGCGTGTCGCGCGTGTTGTGCGCCGCACACGCCCATATATGATAATGATGACTATACGATGAATAGACGGTGCAGCTGCGGGTGGGGTGGACGTTGGAGCGGCAGATCGGGTTCTGGCGCATCGGCCCGATCTACATCCTGTCGGGGTTCGCCGGCAACCTGGCCTCGTGCATCTTCCTCCCCAACACCATCACCGTCGGGGCGTCGGGGGCCGCCTTCGGGCTGGCCGGGGTGCTCGTGGCCGACCTCATCCTCAACTGGGGCATTGTCCAACGCCCCTACCTCAACGCCCTCTTCCTCCTGGCACGCACCACACACGACACGCACCGCACACGCCACACCCCGCACGACACTCACGGTGTGTGTCGTGTCGTGTGCAGGTTGGTCTGGCGCTGGCGCTTGCCGTGGGCTTGCTTCCCGGGCTGGACAACTTTGCGCACATCGGAGGGCTGGTGCAGGGCTTCCTGGCGGGCCTCGTGCTGCTGCCCTCGCTGGCCGCGCGCGTGAAGCACTGCTACCGACTGCTGCGGTGGCTCATCATTCTGCTCATCCCCCCCATCAACGCCCTCCTCCTGGCCATCGGCCTCGTGGTGGTCTACTACAACGTCAACCCCAACGTACGTTTCTTTCTCTGCGCTTTACGCGGGCAGCACTGACCATAACCGCCGTCGAGCAGGATCCGACGTGGTGCGACGTCTGCACCACCATCGACTGCATCCCGGTGCTCTCCTGGTGCAACTACGGCTCCGCGTGATGGTGATGACGAAGAAGACCTCCAGGCAGCTGGCCTGCCCCGCCCACACCCAATCTCTCTCGCTCTGTTATTTAATTTATTCAAGCAAGCACACAACATGCTGTCTGGCCAACAACACGCATGACGATGGTGATGATCACCTCCGCCTGTCCCTGCCGCCGTCATCGCGCTCCCTCCTCCGCTCCCGACTTCGGCTCCTACTACTACGCTCCCGCTCCCGCTCCCGCTCCCTCCCTCTGCCCCTGTCCCGGTCTCTGCTGCGCTCCCTCTCCCGGCCTCCTCCGCTTCTGTCGTCCCGATCCCTGTCGTCTCTGTCTGACGTGTCCCGGCCCCGCTCCCTCGGCCGGTCTCGCTCGTGGTGGTGGTCGCGGTCGCGGTCGCGGTCGTCTCGTTCCCTCTCCCGGACGCGGCGCTCACTGCGCAGCTCACTGTCCGCGTCGGGCCTGTCTCTGGCGCGGCTCCTCTCCGCCTCCCTTCGCTCCCTTCGGTCGCCCGCCTCCCTCTCCCCGCGCGCTTTGTCCACGTAGGACCTGCCCGCGCTGCTACTGCCCTCATCGCGATCGCGCCGGCGCCGCGCTTCATCTACACACGACACACAACAACAACAACACGCGTCAGCAGGTTCACACGCTCCCGCGAGTAGTGCCGCGTACCTCCGTTGCTTGGCTCGGGGGCTGCTGCCTCCTTGGCGCGTCTGGCGGCGCGGTCTTCGTCGTCGTCGGAAGACGAGGAAGTCGCCGATGACGAAGAGGAGGAAGAAGACGAGGAAGATGAGGAGGAGTGCTTAGAGCGCCTCTTCTTTTTCTTCTTCTTGTCCTTTTTGGAGCTGCTTCGTCGCTTTCGCTTCTTGCCGTCGCCCTTTTGCTTTTCCTCCTTCTTGAAGTAGTGGAGAAGCAGCTTGCGCTCCTTCTTGGACAGGTTCTGCAAGAAGGTCGCTTCGTCTTCCTCTTGCTCCTCCTGCTCCTCGCCCTCTGATTCGATCATTTGCTGTACGTTTGGGGGGGGGGGTTAATGTCGTTGTAGCAACGCACCGCTACGCAGGAATGATTTGATTTTGCGAACCTGATTGGCCTGGCTGAGATCGAGGCGCGGGCCGGAGAGGTGCGGCTTGAGGATGAGACGCTCCTCCATTTCTTCTCCTTCCATGGCGTACGCCAAGGGCAGCGGCCTGCGCCGCTTCTCCATCTCCTTTTCATCCATCTGCGCAAATTATGAAATGAAAGGCTCAGTTTTTGATCTTTGCGGCTACTGCGTCCGCTGACAGACGTTGAGTCGTGGGCGTGGATGTTGCAAAGTGGAGGGGCATTTATTGCAACACAGCTTGGTGGGGTCTACTGAAGGTCATGCTATGGATGTAGTGGTGACGTGATGTGGTGGCTGCTCTCTCGTCTCCATGAGTCCGTGCGTTGTAAAGGGGGGGTTGAAGTTGTCGTCAGGGCTGGGATCGCTGCGCCGTCGCAGTCTTCTCTATCTCTCTTCTTGAAGGTCTGTTGTTGTTGTTCGCTAAGGTCGTGGGGGGGGTGGTTGGGTCGTCGTTGCTCTCAAGCGCTCTCGTTGGGGGCATCTCCGTTCTCCTCGCCCTCGTGGGCCTTGAGCACGCCGACGGCCTCGTCGACCTTCTCGCGGAGGGCGTCGGGGGACTGCAGCAGGTGGAGGAGCTCGGTGACGTCCATCGACTCGAGCAGCATGCCGGTGATCTTGGGGCCCTGGGTGGCCGACGTGAGGGCCTCCACGAGCGGGTAGAGCGTCTCACCGATGATGTTCTTGCGCTCCTCGGGCGAGGCCGAAGCCAGCGACGGCGACGTGAGA